GGGGGGGGGGTTACTACAGGGCAGACATACTGTCAGTTTCGATTTCCCGTTTCCTCACAGTTAAAACTTAAACAGTTAAAACATGCTGGAACGCAATCGAACCTCGCAGGCCTGACCGAGACCAGTTTACATTCAGTTAAATAACTCGACTGAGCTTCAAAATAAGACCTCAGGGCACTAGAGATTGTGACCAAGGTCAATGCTGAAGAACAAGGCTTTGAAAAGTCTCATGAAGTGAGGTGCTTTTCACGAAAGCACAGATCATGCAGCCGTCACATGCAGCCGGGAGAGCAGGTGACCATCTGGGGGCTGCAGTACAGAAGTGTTAAGAACTCTGTATAGTAACAGCAGGTTAAAAAGAGGCAGGTGATGGTTCTGCTTTTGGGTAGTATTGCTATTCCATCATAAAGATACAGCATCCATACTTATCAGAGTTGTCAGAATTGTTTTGTAATGCTTCTCTACTTTTTTCCAAGGAAATTAGTTTTACATTTGGTCAAAAATGGCTGGTGGGAGCCAATGCAAGTCTCATTTGGGGAGAAAGAAAGCATGAGACTGCAAAAATAATAAAATCCATTATGTCCCTTATCACCTCGGTGGTAATTTCCTGTTCAGGCTTCTGTTGTAATTCAATAAATTTGTTGAATGGTGATGCTGTTTGTGATTGCGGCATTTAGTGTGTTTTAATGTCCATGCAGGGACTGGCTTGCTGTGTGCCTGTGTTTATGTGTGTTTGCCTGTTGTGTGCCTGTGTTTATGTGTGTTTGCCTGTTNTGTGCCTGTGTTTATGTGTGTTTGCCTGTTGTGTGCCTGTGTTTATGTGTGTTTGCCTGTTGTGTGCCTTTGTTTATGTGTGTTTGCCTGTTTTGTGCCTGTGTTTATGTTGTGTGCCTGTGGGCTCAACCTCATGTCAGCAAGATGGCGTTAGTGGACAGTATGTTTACATGCTGCTGACAGTAATCCAGCTGAGTACTGATTATTAAGCACTAAGACATCACCCTCTCACACACCACTGGCCAGCTGAAGAACAAGTTCATGAAGAAGATCCCGCGTGATGCTGAGGCATCCAACGTGCTGGTGGGGGAGGTGGACTTCCTGGAGAAGCCCTTTGTGGCCTTTGTCCGCCTGGCACAGGCCACCACTCTGGGAGGACTGACAGAAGTTCCAGTCCCTACCAGGTGACCAGTGTCTGTGGGCCTGTCCTACCATTTGTAACCCTTACCTGGGCTTCATGTTATAGAGTAGTGTATGGAGATGGAAGGTATTGTTAAAAGAGGGTAATAGGTGTCAGTGGCAAGCAGAAGCAGGTGAGCCATGTTTCTCAGCATCTGTCTGTGTGGTGGTAATGAGGTACTTACATGTTAAACCCTCCCTAAAAGGTTCCTGTTTGTGCTGCTTGGACCTCAGAGAAAAGGCAGGTCCTACACTGAGATTGGCAGAGCCATAGCCACGCTCATGGTAGATGACGTAAGTATGACATGTGGAGCACGTGCTCTTAACTCTTACTACGATATCAGTCCCACAGACACCTCAATGATTCTCTTCCTCCAGCTCTTCAGCGACGTAGCGTACAAGGCCAGGGACAGAGATGACCTCATCGCCGGCATTGACGAGTTCCTGGACGAAGTCACTGTGCTGCCACCCGGAGAGTGGGACCCCAAAATCCGCATTGAGCCCCCCAAGAAGGTGCCCTCTGCTGACATGAGGTAAGAACGGCCCCAGTGTGGCTTCATAGTGCTCTTCAGTGTCGTAAAAACAAAATGAAATAATACAATATAAATGCACAACATTAAGGAAAACCTTGGTGCAATAAAATGATAATAATTGTTAATTCCTTCTTTTATTTTTATTTATGTGATGCTTTTATTCAAAGTGTCTTATAGAAGAGGGAAGGGTTACACTTCATGTGTGTTCCCTGCTACCCAAACACACAACCTGTGCATTATTAGCGCAGCGCTTCATTTGTTGAGCTACAGAAGCTCATTTTAACCTTTATTATATGCCAGCTCCACCCGTTTCTGTCGTCTCTGTGTTCAGGAAGTCAGTCTTCTCCCTCAACGAGCTGGGCCAGGTGAACGGGATAGTGGGAAGCCCGGCCCCTGAAGAGGACATACCAATGCCACACGAACTGGGAGAGGAGCTGGTCTTTACTGGAAAGTAAGTCAGAAGTTAACGGGCATAGCAATGAGTTTACTAGAATAAGCTGGGAAGCATCCGAGTATAACCTTAGATCTTTTATCTATCTATCTATCTATCTATCTATCTATCTATCTATCTATCTATCTATCTATCTATCTACTTGTAGTGAATGTGGGCTGGTATGGTACAGTGTGTACAAAAGATAATAGGTATGATATATCGTAACTTTGCCACATGTTACTAAGTCTGAATATCCGCCAAGCAACGAAGAATATAGAACAACAATAAAACCAATACTCTCACTTTCAAAAGCCTTTTGGTGCTGTTGAGCTAAGAGATCTCTAGTTTCATATCACAGCCAGCAGGGGCCAGAGCAGCCCACTAGGCTGGATCGGTCTAACCCACAATGCACCTGGCGGCAGGTTCTGTGGCGGCCTGTGTCTGGACATCAAGCGGAAGCTGCCCTGGCTTTTTAGCGACTTCTACGGGGGGTTCCACATCCAGTCCATCTCTGCCGTGCTCTTCATCTACCTGGGCTGCATCACCAACGCCATCGCCTTCGGTGGGCTGCTGGGGGACGCCACAGACAACTACCAGGTGGGTCGAGCAAAGGGGGCCACTTCCTTCCTTTTCAGTTACCCTCATCCAGTGATGGTTGTATGATTTTTTTGTGCACCATAACCAACTTCCCATTGGATTCTTTATTAACTACCGCTGCGTATGAGCACATGGTGATAGCCCATTCATGGTGATAGCCCATTCATGGTGATAGCCCATTCATGGTGATAGCCCATTCATGGTAATCCTGCTCCCCATGGACAACATACACCTGATGGGATCTCACTTCAGCTATGAATGGTATTGTCAATTGTAAATTAATAAAAACAGCAACACATGATGACAACAAACAAACAATAAATGCCACCATAAACACTATATATAGACGCAAAGAGCAGATCCTGTTTAATTGTGCTCTAGTTTGTAAACATGCACTCATTTACTGACAGGATGAAAAAAGCACAGATGTACAAATGCTGACATACATAACCGAGGTTGTGGAGGCTTCCTCTCTTCCTCTGTCCCGCACTCAGGGTGTGATGGAGAGCTTCCTGGGCACAGCCCTGGCCGGCACCGTGTTCTGCTTCTTCGGAGGCCAGCCCCTCATCATCCTCAGCTCCACGGGACCCATCCTCATCTTTGAGAAGCTGCTGTACGAGTTCAGCAAGTGAGTTCAGAGCCGTCCTGGCTAATGGGCACACAGATAGTCAGAGGGGTGGGCAGGAAACGGACAGGGAAGGAAACAGGGAAATGAAGAAGCAGCTCAGGATTGGTGTCGTACTGTACTGGAGTTACACATTAATATTATGCACTCATCTCTGCCCTGACTGCTAGGAGATACAGTCAGCCCTTGGAATCTGCAGGGGTTGATTCCAGGACCCCCCTACGGATACCAAAATCTGTGGATGCTCAAGTCCCTTATATAAAATGGCGTAGTATTTGCAAATATCCTACGCACATCCTCCTGTGTACTTTAAATTGTTTTAAGTTTGTACCTAATACAATGTAAATGCAACAAAAGTACTTGTTAAACTGTATCGTTTAGGGAATAATGACAGGAAACAAAGGCTGTACGTGTTGAGTACAGATGCTGCCATTGTGGACCTAACTAAATAGTTACAATATGATGTTTTCTTTCTTCGGTTTAATGACCTAAAAGAGAAATATGTAGAATAAGACAGAATATTTTAAATATAAGGACAAATAGAAAATACAACTTTAAATAGAAAAAATATAAATTTATTCTCTTTCTTATTTCTCTCTCTCTCTCTCTCTCTCTCACACACACACACACACACACACACAGACACACACACAATCTCTCCATTCATGTCTATGGGGAAAACCCTAATCCCAACAATCAAATATATTTTTAGGCTGTACACTTAATGTTGTATCATTGACAGCATAAGGCAAATTTCATCATGCATTGTGAGGCAGTAAAGTATGTCATGTGATGAGTAGGCTTTGGTAATTTAGAAAAAAAAACAGAGACAAGGAAATACGTGAGAAAAATGGTCCCCACAGCATCAAGATAACAGGTTTTTATCACATTGTGGGGTTTGTCTCTTTCCCTCCGCAGGAATAATCACATTGATTACATGGAGCTGCGCCTGTGGATCGGCCTGCACTCATGCCTGCAGTGTTTGATTCTGGTCGCCACGGACGCCAGCTTCATCATCAAGTACATCACACGCTTCACAGAGGAGGGCTTCTCCAGCCTCATCTCCTTCATCTTCATTTCTGATGCAATCAAGAAGATGGTGGCCTCCTTCAACTACTACCCCATTAATAGAGGCTACAAGCCAGAATACGTCACCATGTACAAGTGCGAGTGCCAAGCCCCCAGTCAGTGTAAGTGTGTGTGAGTGCCAAGCCCCCAGTCAGTGTAAGTGTGTGTGAGTGCCAAGCCCCCGGTCAGTGTAAGTGTGTGTGAGTGCCAAGCCCACAGTCAGTGTAAGTGTGTCCCCAGTACTCAAGGAGGGTGGAGCCTGGATCTGGCTTACAATGAAAATCGAACAGCAGTGATTGGTTCAAGGCCAGATAAACATCCAATAAGTAAAATGCTGACAAATTTGCATGATGATATCAATACCCATCAATAGTGTCACTCATTTCTATTGGAATTTGATATCCTGCTGTGCTTGTGCAGCCAGGCACTGCATTGACCTGTGATCTCAGTCCTCGGGGACCTGCAAACAGTCCACATTTTTGCTCCCTCCCAGCTCCCTGCCAGACAGCCCGCATTTTGGGAATGGACTGTCTTAAGAATCACCTATGTATACTGTATCCAATATACTATTTAATTTGCAGAATCCATGTTTTGTTTTAGGTTTAGTGCTTGAACATTTTGAATTATGGCACTATGTCCTTTTTAAGGGTTTTTGGAATATACACAGTTGTATATGTTTGACTTTTGAAAGGTAACATTTAAGTGCTATTGGATGTATAATTTCCCAGTGGAAAATGAATATATAATTATTCTTCTGTAATTCATCATTATAAAATCTGTGTTGTATTATTGGACTGAATTTGTAATTCCCTTCTCTTCTCCTCCCTTCCCTGTTTCTGTGCAAGAGCAGCAGACTCCATGTTCAACATTTCTGGCCCAACATCAGTGGACCGCACCAGCGAACTCTCTGTGGTGCGTTGCCAAGGCGATGAGTTTGATGCTTCCCATGCTCATCAAAACTGTTACCATGATATAGGTCTCGCTTGGTTTCAGATGTTTCTTCAGAATCTTTGTCTCTAATTGTAAATCAATTCATCTCTCGTTTGTTTTTCTTTTTATCCTTTCTCTTTTATCCCCACCCACCCATTACAAAAATCCCCCTCCCTCTAACCTCTCTGTCTGTCTGCCTGCTATATGTCTCCCCCACTCCCCTCAGCTGAATGATACAGCTTTAGATTGGAGCCAACTCAGCCAGAAGGAATGTCTCTTCTATGGCGGCTCCCTCATAGGAAACTCCTGCAAATATGTCCCAGACCTGGCACTGATGTCCTTCATCCTCTTCTTCGGCACCTACTCCATGACCGTCTCGCTCAAGAAGTTCAAATTCAGCCGCTACTTTCCCACCAAGGTGAGGCTGGCATGGGGGTGTTAGCAGTCTCAACAGGAAAGCGAACAAGTGCTAAGGAAAGTGAGGGAGAGACTGTACTGGACCAGTGTGACGCGCCATTGATCATCCACAGTTATACCTACAGGAAACACTAACCCTGCCAGGCAGTGATTTACAGAAAGAGAGGCATGCATAGATTAACCAGGTAAAACGGAGATGGTCGGGTTGATAATAAACATCCCCTTCTCTGTCCTGATCTTCCCCCCCACCCCACCACCACCCCCCCTGTCTCTGCTCCAGTGCCGCTCCCTCATCAGTGACTTTGCCATTATTATTTCCATCCTCGTCTTCTGCATGCTGGACCACCTGCTGAACTTGGATACCCCCAAACTACATGTTCCCACAGAGATCAAGGTCCCAGACTCCTACCCCAGCCACCCCCACATGGCTCCCTTTCACTCGTGGGAGTTGTACTTACACAAAAATGTTCTGAGGGCAGAAGAAGCAATGATTGGTTCAGGGAGATAACCAATCATATTGTAGAGGAGGTGGGTCCAAGCAACTTCAGGAGGCGGGACCAAGACATCTGATTAGTTGACCTTGCCTCCTCTAGTTGCTTGGACCCACCTCATCTACAATTTGATTGGTTATCTCCCTGAACCAATCATTTTTCCTTCTGCCCTCTGAACATTTTTGTGTAAGTAAAACTCCCATGAGCCTTCCTTTCTCGTTCATCCCTAAAATCAGGGGTCACTGAAAAAAACTTGTTTTGATCCAATTAAACTGATGGCTGTGTAACATTAGCTCTTCATATAAATATAGTTAAAATAGTAAATCCTACACTTGATTGATTCCTTTCGAAAAGCTACCCTAACCATTGCCTTTCCATGCTGCTCTTGTTTACATCTCTCTCTGCTCTCATTTGTCTTTCTGCCTAATAAGCTTCGGAAACTCATCAGTGATTTCTCCACCCTGATGTCAATCATGACGTTTGTGGGTCTTGATATGTTAATAGGGCTACAAACGCCCAAGCTGATAGTGCCTACAGAGTTCAAGGTATGGCTGCTCTAGAGGATGCTTGTTAGTTTGCCGATGCATGTGGCCGATAGTTTGCCGATACCTGACTGTGTGAGTTTGAGCCACGACTGTTCACACAAAACATGGCACCTCACCCATGAATATAAGTCTCTGTGTATTTGCTTCTCCTTTGATGGATTGTACCTCTCAGCCAACCCGCTCAGACCGGGGCTGGATTGTGGAGCCGTTTGGGAAGAACCCGTGGTGGATGTGTCTAGCCAGCTTCGTCCCTGCACTCCTCGTCACCATCCTCATCTTCATGGACCAGCAGATCACTGCTGTCATCGTCAACCGCAAGGAAAATAAGCTCAAGGTAGTCAAACGTGATGAGTGCCACCCCGGCTCCTGTGAGTTGTAGTGTTCATCTAGGCTTGAGCTGCTTTAGATGGTTTGTGGTGCAGCACTTTGTTCCTGTTGTGGGGCCCAAATTCCCCAGCATTCCAGACTGCGTTTGCCTCGTTTGACTCCCCGACTTTCCATCTCCGCTCGTCCCTGGAACAGAAAGGGTGTGGGTATCACCTGGACCTCTTCTGGGTTGGGATCCTGATGGCCGCCTGCTCCCTCCTGGGGCTGCCTTGGTATGTGGCAGCCACCGTGATCTCCATCGCCCACATCGACTCCCTGAAGATGGAGAGCGAGTGCAGCGCGCCAGGAGAGCAGCCGCAGTTTCTGGGAGTGCGGTGAGGTGATGGGGTACAGGGCATGGGGGGTGGTGA